TTTTGCAGTAGCATTAGATATTGGTAACAGCTAATGGCCCAACTTTGAACACAGGGGAAAAGCGTTTTGTTCTAGTAGAATATAACATTAACATACTTTATTATTATTATTGTTGTTGTTGCTGTTGTTGCTGTTGTGCTAAGATTTATCTGACCTTTTGGATTACCTATTCAAATGTGCTTTCGGATTTCGGCTTTCAGATGATGGAAAAACTGCTTTTTTTTGTTCTCTGGTTAAAGTCGTATCATAATTAATTTTTTTTTTAAATAATGTTCTGTATTCTCTGTCCGCAGCTTCCCTCACCTTTTTTCCGAACTTGGGCGACCTCCCAAAATATCCGTTGTCCTCGAAAGAACCCAGGCCTCGTCTTCAGGTAGGTCGCTCGGTTTTGTTGCCAAGTGGTGAAACGTTTTGAGGCTGTAAGATTTTGTGCAACCTGTAAAGGGGGCGGGTGGGTTTTTTTTAAAGAGCACAGGTAACGTTAAACCTCCCTCCCAAATTCTGAGAGCCCCCCCCCTCCCACCTGCAGGTATCGTGTTCCAAAAAGGCCGGCTCCCCACATCCACGCCCTTCCAGACAGAGCTGTCCGCGCTGCAGGTGTGGGAACCGGACAGCATCGCCTAGAGATACTGTATTGAAGTGAACTGTTACTCTCAGTGCTCTGAACTTCATTCAGTCGTGATTCCGAAGTCATCTCCCCACCCTGCTTACTGCTCACAAACTGAGAAAAATACAGATCATTTTTTTTAAATGTAAGAGTATCCCCCGCGACCCTGTATGGGATACAGCGCTTAGACAATGAATGGATGGATTTAAAAGTATCGGGTTTCTTTCTAAATTGCTACTGACAACAACAAAAACTTCAGGACACTTTTCCTTTATGGGTCTTGTGTGAAGCCTTTATAACAGGAGTAAGGTTTTATTCTTCAAACCCTTATTTGTTCTTCAATATCTTTGATATTTTTGTATTCGGATTTTCGTATTATTTGATGCAAGCTTCGAAAATATCGAGGAGACAATAAAAACTGTACACGTTTCGTGGTGATATGAGAAACGGTCGTTAGTTGGTTACATGTTTTTTTTTTTAACCAAGAAAAAAAAAGTTGCTAACCTCTGCTGTTGACAGTGAGGGAACGGGACTATACTGGACAACACGACTCCAGAAATGGAAACACTGGTTCAAACACTTGCTACGCTTTGAAAGTCTTCACACACAAAGTGGTTTAGTTTATTATTATAGACTGACCGTGAGGGTGGCTAACAGTCAGCATGAGGTCATTTTGTGTCGAAACCTCGGAGAGAAGATTAGCATTAGAAAGATGGTGTTCAGTTCAATCAACTCCCCGTCTGCCAGAGTCGCTCCGTGATGTACTGATGGATTCAGTCAATTGCTTTTTGCCATTCTCGGGCGCTTGCGGTGATCTCAACAGCGTCTTTTACTCCTAAATCCCCGTGTTAGTCTCCTTTATTTGTAGATTAGCTCGAGTCTTGGGACGTTTTTTCGTGTTTCTTTAGAGTTTGTCGGGGGTTGCACATCATCCAGCAACCACGACTCATCTCTTCTCGAGATTTGAACCCTGTTTCTCACACACAGCAGAAAGCTGCAGTCACCACCCTCGTTAAGAACGGCCACATCTTCCTTTTAGGCTTTTTTTTAATAAAGCATTTATATACTGCTGTAGATCAACATATTCGCATTAGAACTAAAGCTCATGAGCAAACCAATCATTTCATCAGACCAGCGTGAAATGCATGACAAATCAGCCTGTTTAGGTACAGCTGTGTGCGTCTTAGAAGGTTAAAAATGAATCAGAAAGGTTTAAAAATGTAAATTGTTAAAATGGATAATTGAAAGAAATCATGGAGATTTGGTCTGGCTGTATACTTCTGCATAATGACTTGCAGTGAACAATTGTTCCGCTCATCTCGGCTCTAGGGTATTACGGTTGCCTTGAGACAATTTTAGAAATCGGTAGGTTTTGCGAGAAATTTGTTCTTTTTAAACTGGGTAGTAGTGAAACTAAGGAAGTACGATTCGCCTGGTTTTATTTGTTCTACTTCAGTGCGACATCCTGATTGCTTGAAAAAAAAAAAGGTAGTAGTCTTGCAATGCTCATCGTGAGCAGTCAGAGCCCAGCTGCTGTTGTACCCCCTTCAACAGAGCGCTCCAGTCGTTTGGAAAAGGGTGGGCTGTTGTTCTCTGCTACTTACAGGATTAAATACCTCACCTTAAGAGTACACTTACACAAGGGCTACACTCTAATAACGAACGAGCCAGACAAATTCACAACACTTGCAACGGCGACTCTCTCTTAAACACCTATATTTAAGTATAAAACGCGACCTGTACTGTAGTTCTCAGCCAGTTTTCCTCTTAACCTAGGGATATGTTTTGCCCTGTACGTAAAGTCATCTTATTCTTTCGCAAGGGAGGTTAGGAGAAATCGAATTCTGAAACGTCGCTTTGGTCACTTTTCGGTAATGGTGCTGGGTTGTTGTTTTTTAAGTCATGAAGTGTTATCTGGTACACAGTACGTTCGCAGCTCCCGAAACACACTCGTGTTGGACAGCTTTTGTGCACTGGTTGAAAGTCGTCCATTTATAACTATTCGATACGGTGAGGACTGGAGTCCGTTTTCATTTGTGACTCCCTTGTGCTCGTTTTTCAGTTGATGTCCTCCGGGCTACAGCGTTTATTCAGTATCTATTCCTGTCACCTCTGTCCTGTGCTGCGTTCCTGTGGCATGCCACTTATATTTTTTTCGACTTGGTGCCTTGTGGGTGAGTAACCCTATGTTTCTCATCGATGACTACAAAATCCCCCCCCATCCGCACACGCTGAACCACACACACCAAAAAACAAAAACAAAACTCCCGCTCCTTCAGCTACTGTGGTAGATTTAAATGCATTACTGTATAATTTATAAGGCCCCCAGAGGTTAGAGCTGCAAGACTTTTTCCCAGGGCTGTGGAAAGCAGTTTGGTGTTCTGGGATGGCAAAGGAGTTAATCCTGAAAGAGTCTCCGAAGTATCTCGACTTGTGTGCGTCTATTTCTTCCCAAAGGAGCACCCAAGTCATGGAGCAGGGATGTCAGTGTGGTGTAGTGTATAGCACTCAAGCCACCTGACTAGACGGTTGAGGGTTCAAATCCCAGATGGAGAAAAAGCTGATGCAGCCGTGGGTAAGGTATTCGTACCCAGAATGCTTGAGCAAGCCCATTGTAATTGTCACCTGTGAAACAGGTTAATATACAAGCAGAACAGACCTGGAAGAAAATCAGCTGGGCTCCAGCCATGACCAGTGCTGGTAGGTGTGTTTTTATGACCCAGGTATAAATTGCTTGAGAGCAAAATTATGAAGCCTAACAGTGGGAAAGGTTACTGGAAACTCATTTACCTGTAACCCATGAAGCAAAGACAAAGGATGAAACGAGCACAAGTGTGGTACTTAATATACTTTTTAATTGGAAAGGAACAAGATATAGGTTTATTCCATGCTGAAAAAAAGAAAGAGAACACCTGAAGAAGGCTCCACAGCCGAAACGTTGTGTTCTCTTTCTTCTTTTTTTCAGCATGGAATAAACCTATTACTTGTTCCTTTGCAGCCTACGCATGCTGA